CAGCTGAAGTTGCTTAGCCAACTTTACGGCCAATCTATATATCATAAATAAAAGCCATCCCCACGGGCTGGGCTACAGTTACTCTTGCCCAGGACACTAAACAATGTGAAAATTATACAACAAATGGCCATTATAGGGCCAATGGTTGGCTGGGGCGACGCCTCGACGCCTTCACGCGACACAGCCGAAGCGTGGAGGCAAGCGAGAGCTCCGCAGCTCAGCTCAGCTCAGCTCAGACCAGCTCAGCTCAGCCCAGCCAGTCGTGGGCAATAAATGAGTTTAAACTAGAAAAATTATTATACGCGGCGAAACTACTTAAGTGAACGGCAGAAAAAAATATAAGAAAAGAAAAGAAAATGGGTTAGGAAAGAAAAAAAGCCCCAAACCAAGTCAGCTAGTCAGGCAGTCGTGCAGTTCGGCCAGGACACGCAAAGGCAACGTCCTGACATTGTGGCATCCCGAGGTTCGCGACTTCGCGACTTTGCGTCTCCCTCAGCGCCACATGCTTAGGCCAATATAATCACATGGAGCGGCAGCAAGAGCTAAGAGGCACAGTTTCGATGTGCTGGCGGGTGGAGGGACTGAGGCTAGGTGGGCGGTGGGCGGTAGGCGGTAGACGGTAGGCGTCCTGCTGCTTGAGTAATTCAATAAAWTAACCAATTTGTTGAAAAATAACAACAAGCGGCGGCGGCTGCGACGACGTCGACGTTGGCAACAACGCACAAAAGTCAGCCAAGCCAACTTGTCACAGTCAACGAAGGAGGAGCAGGACGAGGAGCAGGAGAAGGCATCAAGGATGAGGCTGCAATCTGAGAATAGCTGCGACAGCAGCCACGTACCGAACACTAGAGCAAAATATTTTTTATTTATACGTAGCACACACAACAGCACACACACACTCACACACTCTTGTGGACATGGACTATATTGTATAGTCATATTTACTAGAGGGTCGACCTGCTGCTACATTGTCGTTGCCAGGCTGCCAGGCTGTGCCACAGTGGGGCACATACTCATATATGTGCATAGAAAGTGTCACAATTGTGTTTATGGAAATTGAGCATGTTTATGCATGCATGAACTGCTAGACTGCTAGACAGCAGGCCAACAGCAATTTGTGTGCACGCGGTGGGCCGATTTGCGCCACTGTGCCATAAAATGTGGCAGGTTAACTCCATTGACTTGTGAAAAATTGAAAATAAAAATTTTCCGCGACATTATTAAAGTAAACATTGGCGCAAAAGGGTGTGATTATGACGAGCCAAGGAGCTGTGGCAGCTGCCAGCCAGATGGAGTGGGACGGTATTTGTGAGACGGGCAGAGGTGGTTAGCTTCGCTTCGCTTTGCTTGTTGTAGCTGCTGCTGCTGCTGCTGTTGTTGTTGTTGTTGTTGTTGCCACCATGGCAAGCTTCCAATTGTGGTGGCTGTTTATGGCGTTTGCCATGTGTCTGTAAATTGACGTCAGCGAAGCGGCGGCTCTTGTTGCTTTTGTTGTTGTTCTTGGTTGGCTGCTGCTCCCGCCGCTCCTGCTGCTGCCCCTGCTCCTGCTGCTGCTGCGCCATTTGGCATTTCGCGTTTTGTAAAGTTCGGGGCTCCCAGTGGCGCAATCAGCGCCAAACGAAACCAACCATGGGGCTGGCTTGGGCTGGGTAGGATGTGTGCAGGTCCTTTTGGAGGGCCACAAAGCACGCTATTTTATACGGGAGCACACATATGAGCGCATGAGGGTGGGCGAGTGGGTGGGTTTTTGGTTTGCATGGCAGCCCTATGATAACAAGGCTGCTGATGACTTCCGTGTGCTAACTTGGCTCTGCTACGGCTCCTGCTCCTGCTCCTGATTCTACTCCTGCTGCTGTTCCTGCTGCTGCCGGCTGACTTGGCTCCAGCTGTTACGCCGGCTCAGTGACTGATTTTATTAGCAGCGTGCACAAAGCCAAATCAAAAATTGAAAATAAGGTTAAGTAGCTATTACCCGGAATAATGCTGAGCCAGCGTGCGGCATGCCAATGTGGGCGTGGCAAATGGCAATTTAATAAACGCACAACGATGCCGCCCTTTTTCTCTATGCGGCCATTCACTTTTTTTAGCTGGTGTAATTACCTTGGAAATTCCATTAGAATTTCACGGCGCATTAGAGGCCAGAAGCAGCCAGGCAGCTTGGCGTGTTAATTCTGTTGGGCCACTTAAAGGCCGATGCGTAAACCCAATTGGATGGGCCGGCCTTACGGGCGTTAAAACTTTCCAAAAGTTTTGCATACTTTTTGGGGCTGGCAGCCGTTCGACTGCGGGGCGATGCCATTTGTCTGCGCTGCTCAAGCACAAAATTGGGGAGCAGCAAAGAGAGAAGAAAGGAGAGGGGCGAGAAGAGAGAGGAGCACAGGCAAGCAGGCAGGCAGCCAGGCAACCAGGCAAGACTTGGCAATCAATCAATTGGGCCAACGTCAGGTTTTTGGCTACAGCTAATTGGAACAGTTGGCAAGGGCCGCGAAGAAGAGAGAGAGGAAAAGGCTGAGAGATAGAGAGAGAGAGAGAGGCGCACAAAGCGTCAGGCAGTCGAGTATGACATAGGCGAATGTCTGTGGCATGGGCCAAAAGTTGCAGCAATTAACCGGACAGGAGGCAGTCAGCTCTTAATATGTGAGAGAGCTATTCAGTATGTGTGTGTGTGTGTGTGTGACAGCATGCGTCACATACACACACACACACATACACTACAAAGTCAGCGAGTGAATTTTTCATGGCTAATTGAGTGGCAACTTGGGCGCAATTTGCTCGCGCGCACATAAATAATTGATAATTAAGTAGATGCAGTGCAGCGCAGCACCTGCAACACACTCACACACACGCACACATATAGACTCTGTTGCAGGCGCGCATAAAATATGGCAATCCAGTTGCCTGGACACGAATGCGCGTGGCAAGAAATTTATACGGCCGCATTGTTGCTGGGCTTCGTCATACATATGATGCTGCTGGCACTTGAAACTAGCACACACACACACACTCCCTCACACACACAGATGGATAGATATACGCCCACACACATAGTACTCATCAACTGTAATGAGATGGTAATGTTAATGAAATTTGTTGCTTGCTTTGGCAAAGTTTTCCAGGCAAACCCAGGCGAATGCTGGGCTGGGCTGCCTGATGTCAAGAGCTCTAATGAAGTCATTGATAAGCGCACAACAAGCTACATATACACATGCATACACACACACACACACACTCAAAGAGAAACGAAACACATATAAGCACACACTGATTAGCTTTTGAAGCAGCCAGAATCGTTGTTGCATATTCGGCTGCAGCGCGTAGACAATAGCTGACAGACAGACCGACAGTACGCGAAGAAGGAGGCAGGAGAGGGCCGAGGGCGGGGCGAGGGCAGCGACGCTGCGAGTGACTGTATGAGCTTTGGCTTGACTCTTGCTATTTGTACTTGAAATCTCATTAGAGTTGAAGCACTTTGCCTGACAGCAGCAGAGGCATTCTTGAAGCTAGTTTGGCATAACGACGAAAATTTAATTATATAACACAAAGCAAGCCAAGGCAAATCAGAGTGAGTGAGACAGAGTAAGAGAGAGAGAGAGAGAGAGAGAGAGAGAGAGAGAAAGAAAGGGAGAGAGGTGGCGAGGCATATCAACAAAAGCCAGCAGAAAATTGAAATATTTTTTAGCCTTTTGACTTGTGACTTTTCCGCCCTCACACTGAGGTCAGCGTGGCAGCTTTTAGCTTCTCTAGTGCCCTATAACCGCAATTTGCACACATGCCCTTAATTTGCCCATGCTCAAGTGGAAAGTGTGAAAATGAAAATGGAGGCAAAAAAAAAAAAAAGGAGCGGAAGGAAAATAAGAAAAGAAAATAAAATTAAAATGAAATAAAATGTTATTGAAAAGTTGCTATGGCCACGTCATGGCAGCCCCACTCCACACACACAGACCTTCCATGCGGCCATCCAGTCATTCAGCTATCCAGCTATCCAGCTGGTTTTATAATTGCGGTTTCGCAGGAGGTTGCAACCTGCGGTCATTGCGGACAGCAGGATACACAAAGCATGCCTCGACTAAAGAATTACTTTTGCTGCCTGTCAGGCAAAAGCAACAACAACAGCAGCAGCCGAAGCAGTAGCAGRAGCCGGATGGAGGCACTCGTCCGSCCGTAATTGGAATAATAGTAAAAAGCGAAGCTTACATGCTCCGAACAATGGGATTACAAAATAGTTAAAGCTTTGCCTTACTCCAGCTGCTGCCAAAAACAGATTGCACAATGCAAAATGTTTAAGTAATAGAGAAATATAATGAGAGTCGAGCTGAGCTCAACTGAGCTGAGCTGAACTGGAGCCCCAAGAAATGCAAGTGAGTCGCTTCGGCAAGAGTATCTGGCATCCAAAATGCTGACTAAGCGGTGCGACATGGCACAGGTGCAGAGCTGGGGATGTGAAACAGAAAGAGAATGAGTGATAGAGAGAGAGAGAGAAAGAGAAAAGCAGAGAGACAGACATGACGCTCGTGGCTTCCGCTTGACTGGGAAGCTGCAGGCGTAGCCCACTCGACCACAAAAGCATAAGTTGCCAATTAAACTCGAACGCTTTGCTTGCTCCACCACTCCGGCAGCAGGGCGTGGCCAGAGGCAGTTGTCGAGAGGGGGCTGAGGCATTAATTTCATAACCTGCCTTTTTATGGCCAGCTGCCCAAATTGGGTCAACATTGACAATAGCCAAAAGAACGAAAGATGTGCCAGCCACTAGAGCTGCAGGCAGCTGAGATAGATGCCAGCTTGGGCTGCACAGCTCGCTGGCATCCTGCCTACCGTCTCCTGTGTCCTGCCTCCTGCCACTTGGCACTCGAGCTGAGCAATTCACAATTCATTTCTGGTGTCGGTTACGCTGCCACTTCCGTTTGCAGTTACTTTTGGCGTAATAATTGCATCGTTGCCTTTTGCAATTATGCAAATTTGCTGGAGCTAATTGTCTATCGTTCCTCTTTGATGGCACTTACTTGATCCGATTGTACACCAAGAGCTCGGCAATGTCACGACCCAGGCCCGAGTACGTTGTCTCCACAAACACCAGCACCTTGGGATCGATGCGCAGACGTGCCTCCGAACGATGATCGGGCGCTGGCGAGGCGTCACGTATGTGCTTGCCCGCCGAGTTAATCATGCGGCAGTTGATAATGGGCGCCGGATGTGTATCGCGCTGGATGAGACTGCAACAAAAAGAGAGGGAGAGAACATTGTTCAAGTTATTAATGTATATGTATGTATATGTTATATATGTATTTATGCATTCGCTTGATGCACACACAAAGAAATTTTCTCAAAGAAAAACGAAAGCACGAAGCAAACAGCCGCAAAAGCACAAGAAATTGGTTGCACACATAATGTGTGCCGCAAGTTTCCTGCAGCCGCGACAACGTTACGTATGCGCAATATGCAAACTGCGACAAAGAAACAATAGCAGCTGCTGCTGCCAATACAACAAGCCAAAAGAATCCTTCGCCTTGCTCTTGCCACTGTCGGGTATGTGTATAAGTATATCCTCACTTGCATTGCTCCCCACCGCAGCTCCCAATGGAGCTCATTAACCAACTGAGCTGTCTTCAAAGGCAAGCAAACAGCCTGCTGCTTGCTCTCTCTGTGCTCGGCTTTAATGATTCATTTGCAACCTTAGCAATTCGGTTAGAGTTTTGTGTGACAACAAAACTTCGTAGGCCTTTGATAATTTCCTAGCTAACTCGAACTCGGACTCCAACTCGGGCTGCACCTTTGAACTGTTACAACTTTGCTATTGCTCTTCTCTCTCTTTCACACACATTGGTAATCCATTTGGCAAAGCATTTTATTATATGGGAGTCTTATGCAATTTTCACATATCCGGCGAGCTGGCTGCAACAATTTCGCAACGGACTCCGCTTAGTCAAAGCGGCAACATGTGTTAGAAGTCTTTGAGTCCATTTCGTGCAAAATCCCCAAAAATTAACAAAAAAGGAGGAAAAAAACCCTATTAGGCCAAGCCCCAAATGGCATGCAAAGGCTTTTGGCCAAGCATCCTTTTACGGCCAGAAGAGGCGTGCCTGCCTTCCAGTTGGAGCAATGAAAAATGTAAATACTTTTAGCATGTGGAAGGACAAAACGAACCGGCCAACAAGCAGTCTGGCCCCAATGCAGGACCTCAACTGCCGAGCTAGACAAAACTTTGGCTCTGGCAAAACAAAATATTTAGATAGCAAATACACACGCTCAAGCACACACACACACACACACACAAATGTATTTGTGTATGTATATTTTTAGAGCCGCCCCCCAAAAATGTCAGAGTGCGAGAAAGTTTTCTTTTCAAATACCCTGTAATCTTACCTAGCGCAATTGAGCAGCAACATCAGATACATTTGCGAAACTATAAATCAAGCATAACATTTGGCAACTGCCCCAGGGAGAATTTGACTTTATAAAATGTCTGATATAATAAAGTTTACCATTGAGCATGTAAAGTGTCTTTTGTGCTTGCATGAACTTTGTGTACTTCATCATTTTGGACGAAATCAAATGCTAGATAAATAGTTGAACAGCTTAAACTGTTTGGCAGCATTACAAATGTTTAGCTGAATGGCTCCAACTGCATTTACTACATTTAAGCTCCTAATAACTGGCGTAATAAGCTTTCAGCTGCTTTAAAGCGTAAAGTTTCTGCATTTCTGCTGGACTAGCTTCAATGTGCATTTTAAGCTCGTTATGAGTGAGAGCTTGCATTTAAAGCTCGGCTGAATATAATATATATCTACTTAACTGCAGATATGGTATTTCATTCATTCGATTCAATTTAACTATAGCAGTGCAATCCATATGCAACGAGAAAGTGGAAAGGAAAAAAATATTTATATTTAAACTGAAGCTTTTCCTTTTTAAGCGCCTTTTGGCTGTGGGCTCTTTGGTGCATGACGACGACTATGATGATGATGATGATGTTGAAGAAATTCTTGTTGCACTGCCTTGTTTGCATTTCGTGCAACATTTGCGTGGCATGCCAGCAGGCGAGCCATTCATCCAGSCAGCCAGCCAGCCAGCGAGGCAAAGCGGCCAAAACAGAGTCAGCTCAACCTGGCCTGTTTTCAGACGCTGTTCGCTGATTTATTTGTGCACAGCVCAAAATTTCCGTTTCCGTTTCAATGTTTTGGCCGTGTGCAGCAGCAGGAGGAGCAAAGTTTGGTGGTTGCTGAATGTGGAGCAAGTTTCGTCTTTCGTGTTGCATAAATTAGGCAACAAAAAGTCAGTTGATGCATTTGCGACGTGTTATTTATGCGGGCGTGCAACAAACTTGGCAGCACTGCCAGCGACACGCAAATGTTGCACTGTCAACGTAGTCGCCGTCCAGCTGCAGCATTAACACGCGGCAGCAATCAGCGTGGCCAAAGCTTATTAGTCAATTCGAAGACACCAGGCGGGCAGCTTTTATTGAATTGCTTGAGCACATAAACTCACACACACCCACACACGCACACATCCCATGGGGAGCCGCAATTCAGCAACATTTTTTATGTGGGCAGCTTAAAGGCCACAGCCAGAGCCATAGCCACGCCTCGGGCATAATAGAAAACCGCCCAGCAGCCAGCAGCCATCTCCATTGCATTCCAGCGAGAAAGGGCGGCACGCTCAAACAATAAATCGTATGTAAAAATTTGTAATAAATTTGCAAAGTAGCAAATGCAGCAGCCGCAAAGTGCGACGCGGCCAACAGAGCGCATACGTAATGCAGCTGGGATAACGTGGCATAATAAAAAGGGGGAAACTAGCGCAAGGATATGGATGTGTGCGGCAAAGCTATCACAGCGCACGCTCTTCCACACCTCCACGCCCACATCTGTAGTATGAGAAAAAAAATTACTAAAATATACAAGGAGCAAAAGGCAGCGTGGCAGCAAATGCAAAACTGTGCGAAAAGGAATGCCAAAAGACAAAGCGGACATTTGTATAAATTGAGAAGCGCAAAGAGAGGCGACGTTTCAATAAGCGTTACGCTTCAAGCTGGATAACAAATGATGCTGAGCAAGGGATGATGTCAAGAGATTATTTGAAATATGCTTACTAATTTTTCAGATATATGTACATATATATATTTATATAGATGGCTGAGTGAAATCAAAAATGGATATTATGTACCATGTACTTTTGCCATTTAAATGTGGAATAAGATGAATGCCAATAATATAGTAAGGCACTGCTCAATCGCATAAATTTCACTTCAATATGGTAAGCTCTCACTCTTTTTTACTATATCCCCTCCCTCTCTCTCGCTCTCTCTCTTCGCTCTGTTGGATAAAAGAAAAACTGCAGCCACTTAAACACAATGGAAATCAGAAAGAAAAGCCGGCACAGTGCGAGCAATTGAAAAAGCACCCAAACGAGCCAACAACAACAACAATGAGCGAGCATTTGCGGTGCAGACACTGCCAATTTTATTGGCATTCGCCAGTGAACGAAAAAGTGAAAAAAGTTAATTAAATAAATCAAGCAAGCCAAGTTCAATTCGATTGCAGCAGGAAATGAGTGGGAAAATGCCAGCAGCGGCCGTTGGCAAGTTGGTTGGCTCGTTGGCTCGGTAGTACGGTGGTGCGCTGCCAGCGAACCACCGCACAGTTGGCCAAATGAACTGTAAGCTTCTCTGGGCTCTGGACAAAAATGGCGTCGGCCAGGCACGGATATGCAAAAACGGCTAAAGCAAAAGGACACAGCGAACGCCATGGCAACCTGCCTCTCCTTGTTTGTTTGTTGGCAGCAATTGCATTTAAGGCAAATAAACGTAATTATTTATTGCATTTCGCCGACAGTTGACACGCGGCTGAACCACTGAACCAGCACTTCGACTCTGGTTTAATGAAAGTCATCTGCAAGCGATGGCTAATGGGTGCAGTAGCTGTAGCTGCTGCTGTTGTTGCTAGTGACTGCACCTGGCATATGTAATTACTTTTTCAGTATACATACACAGAGAAACAAACACACCCACACACACATATACAACCGCTCTGCCGCAATTGTCATTTATAATCGCATTTTCAATTTAAATGTTTAGTCAATTAATGCACGCAATGTGATTTCCATGACGTATACGTCATGTTGTACACACACACACACACACACACACACACATACGCTCTGCTGTCGTGTTAAATATTTGCAGAACTCACCAAACTGGCAGTGTTTGATTTATGTGTTTATTATCAGGAGGCAGACGCGCATTTAGTGTTGCAGTTAGGTAATGTTTAAAGCTCTGTGACACGCCCCCTTGAAGCTTCATTTACACGCTGCCAGGCTCGAACATCAAATTCTATTTATCGCACTTAACACGCAAAGCAAATAATGCATTCAACTTTATATATAACCAAGCCATCTGATTAAATGCCCAACAGCGAACAGGCGACAAAACAAAAGGAAATGTGTTTGCCAATATATATTAAAGAAATTTCTATGAAAAACAGCTTGCCCGGAATGGGCCATAAATTGTTGGCAAAGTTTTCCAAAGGCGAGCCAAAAATAACTTCTACTATAAGCAAATCGCCATAAATAATCATTTCAAAAGAATTTATAGTTCAATTTCAACTATTTTTCTAGTTTTATTTTGCAATTTCCATAAAGCTTAAATTTAAAATTCTTTTTATATGCGCATTGAATGACATTTCTTGATCTATGACATATCTTCTGCTTTTCATGCATGTAAAATTGGGAATTTTTATAAAAAATTGCAGCTCTGCTGACATTTCATCTATTGCAAGTGGGATAAATCGTAACGATTTTGACATTTTTGTCGTGTGATTTGCATGTTTAGCATTACAAATCAATTATTGCAGCATGTCAGGCGACTGTGTGTGTGTGTGTGTGTGTGTTGGTGTTATGACTGCATGCAAATCACGTAGGTTTGCATTTTGGCAAAATGCATTTTGCACCTACAGCGACAGCTGCAACAGCAACAAAAACAATGTACTTGCTGCATATGCAAATACATGAGTGTAGATGTGTGTCTGTATGTGCTTATGTGTGTGCGCAAATAATGACAGACAGCATAAACAAACACGCACATCAGTAACTGGCGGCTGCCTGTCGCCGGGGCCAACCACACAGCGGGACAGGTGGGTGGCAAACGGGGGAGCATTGGCAGCGGCTGCCACATCGCATGTTTCCGCTTTTTGCACGTAACGGACGCATGGACATGCACATGGACATGGACACGAAACAGGACATACAGGATATACGCACAAGGCACACTCACGCACGCACACACACACACAGAGACTCAAAAGCATTTGAATTTATTAAAATTTACCAGATTTGATGCACAAGTAGCACAAGCTCAGGCAATCCTTGCAGCCTGAAGCCTCTCGCTCTAATTGCCAGAGTCTTTGTGCAGCTGTTGCTTAGCTTGGTCGTCTCTTTCTCCCTCACTCACACATACGCCTGAATGACTAATGAACTTTGCCACAGCTAAGATCGTAAATTAAATTTAAAGTGCACTAGCCAAGTAAATATTTAATAATCAACTTTGGCTTTGGGCGAAATAAATAAGTTTCTGAATCAAGCAACGCAGAGTTAGCAATGCAAAAATATTTTAGTAAAAACCAAGTCAAGGACTTCGATGCACCTGCAGTAGCTGCTACTGCTGCTGCTGCTACTCCTGCTGCTGCTGGTGCTACTCCTGCTACTGATGAAAGTAATCAAAACTTTGTCCGTTGTTTGTTGTGCAACTGCAGGCGTGTTGCACTTTGCTGTTAGTCAAGAGCTGCGGGGCTGCCATTCTTTCCTCTAGCCATAAAATGTTTGTTAACCATAATTGCGCGCTAAAGTAGCTAACGGCGAACTGCCACGCCCACGCCCMCGCCCAGCTGTGCGAAAAATTTCCACAAATTAAAATACAAAATAAGTGCCAGGCCACAAAGAAAAGCGAAATCCAGTGCGAGAAAATAAACAAACGAAGCGCTGCCTTTTCCACACAGTCTTTTTACCGTTTTAAATTTATGGGATATACGAGTATTTTCTTACAACATCCCCAAATAAATACGTGACGGCAAATGGCTCGAACTTTAAGCAAGTTCTGCGCGTACTGAGCTAACCAAAGGTGTAAGCTCAAGTCGCATGTCGAGTGTGGAGTGTAGAGTGGTTGGGTGGGGTCAAACTTTGAAAACAAGTCACATAAAAATCGTTGATGATTCTACGAAGCAACAAAATGGGGAAAAACAACTAGTTAAAAGTTTTAACAGTGCTGAGAATAAAACACGCAAGGGTAGCTGAAAACCTTAAGAACTTTTATCTAGCCAAAGCACAAAAACACACGTGAAACACTTTGAAAGCTCCACTCGACAAATAAGCAACTGAGCGGTGTGAGAAGCGCCGAGAGGGCTGCAGTCAGATTGTTCGTGATTGACCCAGCTAATACTACAAATTGTTGGCACTCGCTGGCAAACAGAGACGTTTTGAATAAGTCTAAGCTGAATGTAAACAATTTCAGCTGCTTGAAATATTGGGTGTCTGAACAAACATTGATGGAAATAAAAGAAAATAAACTATGAAAAGCTTTTCTTTATTGCCATCATAACATAAATATAACTCACTTGCAGTCGAGCTAGTCAAAATGAGAAGCGCAGAGATATTTCTGCAACTGTAACAACAAAATCTAGAATTGTTTCAGCTATCTTAATTGGAATAGCAGTCACTTTGCTCTGCTTCTTCTTCTTTTTGTACTATGCCTTATTTGTTGGCAAGCAAAATTGGAACAATACAAATGATATATATATATATTAGAGCAGGCTTAAGATGCATTTTAAAGCACCTTTGTTTCAGCATTGCATTCGCAAACAATATTTGCATGAATAATTCTTGAATTTGTTTTGCGCTTTCTCTGTGCCTCATTGTGCCACTGCAACAATGCGGCAATGAATGGAATGAACTGAAAATAAATAGAAATACAATGAACTTGAAATGCTCCACTCTCCACACAGAGAGAGGGAGAGCGAGCACCTGTTAATCAACTGCATTGAAAAGAATTCCCTCTGCTAAAATGAAATACAATCATGAAATTTCATTCAGACCCACAGCTCCCATCCAAGATAGTTCGTTCTAGTTCTCTAGCTGTGGCTACTCACCCGTCGAACATGTCGGTGCCCACGTAGTGCGTGTAGTATAAAATGCTGACCGCGGTGATGCCAAACAGGGCCAGGATGCAGCGTCGCACGTTGATGCGGTTGCAACGGCGTGCAATTAAATTACAACAATGGCAAAGCGAACTTGAAATGGCGGAGCTAGCACCACCAGCACCACCACCACCACTACCAACAGCGCCACCACCACCATTCACACTGCCAATGCTCGYTGATGAGGTAGAGTTAAAGTCATAGCTGAAGCCATTCGTTTTGGCCTTGTACGTGACAATGCCGCTGCCGGGCAGAAAACCGTTAGCCGTTGGCTCTGGCGGCAGGAGCATGCTTCGATCTGTGATGTGCTCGTGGCTGGGGTGCCGGTAGAGGTCAGATGGCGTGGCATGGCCATTGCCGAAATGCTTATTAAGATGGCCGCAATCGACGAATGCATCCGCGTCCGCATCCGTATCCGCGTCCCCATCCGCATCCACATCCGTTTGTGTGCCGGTCACGCTTGTCGTGCCCGACTGCATTTGCGGCTGTTTAATGAGTTTTTCATATTTCAGCGATTTGCCAGGCAGGCGATTTGCAATGTTGCTTGTCGTGTTTGTTGTTGCAGTTGTTGCTCTAGTTGTTGTTGGTGTTGCTGTTCGTGCTGCTGCTGCTGCTGCTGCTGATATTGTCATATTGTTGTTGGACTTCCGCTCGGTGGTGTTGACTACAAGTTGTCTCTCCTCTCTCTCTCTCTCTATCTGTCTCTATTATATATATCTAAGATATATATGTATAGATTGCTCTCTAATTGGCAGCGTTGCTTTTGGGATATGTGTAATTCGTAAGCGGGATAATACGTTCTATAACTATATTTCTATATAAACTCGATTTGTTAACACTCGCGTTTTCTTTTCTTTATTTTTTATCTATGGCACTTTCGCTAATTTCGTTTAATTTTACTGTTAAGTCGCTGGCTTTTCGAATTATTTATAAAATTCTGGAAATGTTCTCTTGATTTTGTCTTGAAATTTTCACTTTTCAATTCGCCATTTGATATGTTTCCAAATTTTTAAATATTCATTTTGTTTTGCCATTGTGGCTGCTGAGCTTCCTCTTGTGTTTGATGTTGTTGTTGTGGTTGTTGCTGCTGCTGTTGCCGTTGTTGTTGCTGCTGGCAGCGTTGACTGCCATTATCAGTCATATGTGAGACCCACTTTCAGTTGCTGCACTATCAGGCATTGACTGGGTCGTCTTATCTGTAAAAGTTAAATGGAAACCACATTAAATAAATAATTATTTCGTATAAATAGTAAACAAATAAAACTAGTTTTGTATGCTATGAGGGCACTGCAACTATTTCAAGTTGTTTGCTTTGGACTCGACTTATCGAAAGCTACGGTAAACTTAGCTTGAGAGAACTTGACAGAACAGAAGTTATCTATTTTCCATATAAGCAGTGTAGAGCGTATACACATACATATGCAATCACAGTAAAGGTAAATTGGTGAGAGTGAAGACAGAGAGATATATTGATATAAGCGCATTATAGGATGTTGCTACTCCCTCTTACAAATAAGAATAGACCGTTTATCGATGTGTGCAAATATTGTCTTTTACTGATACTCTGAGAAAAAATTCAGAGATCGAACAATTGTGTCGGTTCTTCAACGAGTTCGTTCGCGATCGGCCGAAAACGTTTTCCGCTCTAGATCTTCCCCGAGCGCTTGCAAATGTATTGGTATATATGCGAGCGTTGTCGATGAATTGAGTGNATGTTCGTAAAAAGAGCGTAACACGAATAGGTCAACTCTCAGCTCTCAACAGAAATCAAAAACGAAAAGAACCGAAGGCTATATATTCGATTGATTTCGCGAACAGAGCGTAAAGAATAAAATACGCAATAGTTATTCTCGTGCTTATGGGAGAAGAGTGAGAGAGAGAGAGAGAGAGAGAGAGAGAGAGAGAAGAGGTATTTATACATATAATGCATTTATTATATACAGCATGCATAACCATTACTTCATCTCTCACAAGAACTCAGCTCCAATCTACTGAGACTTAATAAGAGTATTCAATAGCCAACCATTGTGAGCTCTGCCTGCATAAATTTCCGCATTAGTTCTCTACGAAAATTAATTGATTACACGCACCGTTATCCACAAGTCTTAGCCCGCCCCAATGGCAATGCACAGCAGTCAGTCTATGCTATCTATTTAGTTGTTGACAGTTGTCAATTCATTTCGTTGGCGTCTCGAAATGTAATGTAAACAAAATGCTGATAAACCTGCAAATAAAGCGAAGCCGCAACAGTCTATATAGACACACATTCCGAAATTTTGGGGCGTGTATATCTCCATGTTTACATCTGTGTGCGTGTGTGTGTGTGTGTGTGTAGACTTAGCCATTAACTGCATATGCGGCTTACTTTAATTGCAAATGGCTGTGGTTGCCAACCAAATAATGACAACATACTTTCCGGCGCTTTATGGCCGCAACCAAATGAGTCAATAATGAGGTTTTAGAAGAGCAACAATATTTGCCAAGCGCTCGTTGTCGTTGTCGTTGTCTCTGCAAACAGTGAAGGGAAATGTGGCGCTAGCCTAGGGAAGGAAACTGTAGCTTGACAAGGTATTTGGTTCTTCTGCACCGACTTCATTCCAATGAAATCCTGGAATTTGTTTACTATCATTGCGAATACATATAGAGTGTATCTCTAATTCATTTAGTACTTGGAAACTGCACAGAGTCTAGAGTGAAATGTAGATCATTTCTGTTGCCATCCATTTCACTTATGTGGGTGAAAGTTTTGCAACAGCAGCTGGCATCAGAAACCACTTCACGAATAGCCTTGCAATAATTCACAAAGAGCATTTTTCTTCTTGGCAACTTAGCCGCAACAGAATACAATGTAAGCAGCCGCAGTTAGAAAGAAAACAGGCAAAATTGTAACTGAAAGCTGTTAGACAGGCCAACAACAACAACTGCAATAGCAACAGCAACAACAATAACAACTGCGAAGTCTGGGCGCATTCTTGGCCTTGTTTTTTGCCTCTGTTACAAATTTATCATTAAAATGTCAGAACTTAAATTGATTCAAAAACTTTTGCCTGGACAGAGAGAGAGAGAGGGGGAGGGAGAGAGGGAGGGAGAGAGAGCGACAGAGCGAGACAGACGGCACCGCAACGTGCTTCAGCTGTGGGGCATAACAATGCCTTGCCTCCTTGAGCTGCTGCTGCTCCTGCGACTTCTGCGACTCCTGCTACTGCTTGCAATGTCGCTTAGACAAAAGTTGTTGTTGGTTTCCTTTCGATTTTTGTTGTTGTCGTTGTTTTGTTCCCGCGTCTGCTGTTTGTTTGCTGCATACTTTAAGGCGCGCAAAAACTTTGCTTTCTTCGTTAGGCAAACTTGTTTAATTTCCTTCTCAATTGTGACCACGTGACCCCCACAGCCTGGGCGCATTTTAACTAAACTTTTGCAACATTCGTTCGTTTGTTCGTCTGTTTTATTTGCTTGTTTGTTGCTGCTGATTTGCTTGTCGTACATCGCCGTCTATTTGTGTCGCTTATCTATATATATCTTATATAAATGTTACACATTTATGTTTCTGTACATGAATTTATTTATACATGCCCATCTGCCGCAAGGTTGCCAGCAAACTTATGTATGTGGCATGCACTTTTCAATTTACATCAAATATTTACGGACTGCCAGGCAGCTCTCTATCTCACTCTCTCACCCTCTCTCTCTGTCTCTGCCTCTGTCTCTATTGCCCTCTGGCTCACTCTTTGCTCATCCATTTTCTGGCTAATAACACATGTCTCTTAAGTTTCATGTCGAGTTATTTCAGTTTGCCAGTTTTCAATTTGCTTGCACAGACAAAAACAAAAATTGTTGAATCTGAATTCATTTCTGGCATTTCGTGCTCGTGTTCCTACGTATGTAGGTGCCCCCATGGGGGCCAGCAGCAAAAGGGCTGCGCACGGCCATTAAACAATTTGCTGAGCATGTTGAAAACTTAATGCCACAAACTTCGCGCCTGGTTCTAAAGACCAAAGACTCTCATCACAGCATCACGGCTTCCAAAAATTTCATTTGTTTTTGTTTCTTTCTGTCGGTTGTTGTTCTTGGCCTGCTTTTGTTCCTGCTCGCATCCCACTTTCCACTGACACCGACTCCTCCCCCCCCCTACGCCCACACGCCGTACCCGTTTCTTTTAATGGTTTTGAAAACTATTTATTTTACGATACATTTTGTTTACATTGTTGAGCTCTGCTGGGGCATCGTTTACGGCAGACTTCACGAGCACCTACGACTACTGCTACTGTGCCACATGCCTGCCCGACAACGGAACACCCTCAACATTTCTCTAAATTGCATTGGGGCGTGCGTGCAGCAACAACAAACACAACGCAGCAGCTGGAGCTGGAGCTGAAGCCGACGCTAAAATTAAGTAGAAAACATTAACTACAAGATGCTGCAGCAGCAAATACTCTATCCAAATGGAAAGTTAGAGTAACTTAAATAATGTGAAATAATTAAGTGCTTATACAGTTGATTTTATATACATGTATATCTAGATTAATTGAGCAGCTGCTCCAAGAAACATTTAATCTTTTTATAGCTATAGCTGTCAAGGTTTAGGTGAAATAAACTTTTATTTCTTTTTATCATTATTATTATTTATTTTATGCAACATAAATCTATATATCTGCTTCATATCGCCATCTTAATGACCTACATAAAAAATGAAGTGTGTATAGCAAAGCCTTTGGAGAAATCGATTATGCTCCATGTGGAAAGAAGTGTAAAGACAACAATTGCTGCAATAACAACATCGAAGTGTGCCCCAGAGAGATGCCTAGTAACCTACACGCCCCCGTTGGCCCATGCTGTGGCCACCCTCAGCTTTTTTTTCTATTTTTATTTCATTTTTTTCCCACTTTGCTGTTTTTGGCTGCCCATTTATCAGTCAACAATTGCTGTTGTTGTTGTTGTTGTTGTTGACTGCTTTGTTTTGTGCTGTTTGTTTGTCTGGCCCTTTTGCGTTTTTTGTTAGCTTTTCGCGCGTTCGCGGCTTCAAGTGCCCAACCCAACACGCACACATGCACAAATAACCACACACACACATACGTATTCATATATATGTCTATGTATATATGCCAGTCAGCTGACAGCGCAGACATATTGATAATCGCTTCCAATTTGTGTTGATTTTGTTGCTTGCGGCAACAACAAAAAATGGAGTAAAAAAAAAACAAAAAACAAAAAAAAAATTAAATACAATAGGGAAAACAATCAATTGTCTGTAGTAAATTGAATGCAACGCCTGAATTTGAGTGAGTTTTCCAACCCCCCACCCCACCCACGCATGACTTGCACAAAACATCTAACTTAACCCACTGAGCAGGGCCTAGCTCCACTTCACTCCCAGCCCGCGACTACCGACTCATTGGCCAGACATTTGTCTGGACTGCTGTCTGCCCATTTGAATGATGAATGCTGCTTGAGCATTCGAGCTCGAGTTCGAATTGGAGAGGGAATTTCTATGGAATCTGTATGTCTCCCCTCTTGCTATTGCTGTTGCTGTTGTGCGTTGTGCGTTGGTGTTGCAGCAGCTCCCCACGTCGGGTCTATAAACAATTTGTGTGCATTTAATGAGTTTTCACACTTTAACGCCAGCAACTGCCCGGCCAAGCTTCTAATTCCCCTGGCTATGCTGGCTAATGCCTATTGCGTGTGTTAGTGTCTCACAGGTTTTATGTCGTCATAAATCAATGGGACTGACAGCAATTGTCTCGATTTATAGAGTTTCAGCGTAGGCGGCGGCCAGGTGATTGGATTTCCAATACCAAAGAAATGTAGCAAACTTTTCGATTTACTCAGAATTTTATAATTTGTTGGGAATGTTTGACTAGTTGTACGACATGAGATGGCTACATATATGTAGAAAATAAGTTATATATGCTAGAATTTTATTGTTATATATAGGCAATTAATAATAAAATGTAAAATATATATACAT